CTCTTAGAGAACTAACTCGCCATAAAAACGCTAAGCAGAAAAATATTCTGTAGATTTTCTAAAGATAATCCGACTAGAAACTGACATTCTTTTGAATAGAAACGAAAAGAATTTCAAACAATAACAACAAAGAACAATGTTACGAAAAGAGACTGAGTTTATTTTATTATGGTGTAAAGAAAAGTTGAATATTTATGAGAATTGAGTAGACTGTATAAATGTTGAATAATTTCATTGAACCCTTTTATTTTTTTATTATCCTTGTCTGTTTCCATTCATTTTCCTATATATTCTTATTCATTATTTCTATAGTATTGTAATGTGTATTGACGTGGATAAATGTCAGCTTTTACACACATATGTTCGTTTCTATCTGTTGATCTCCATTGAATATCAATGTAATTAAAATGTAATTAGATAATATTCAGTAGACTTACATGAGTGTTGTACATTCATGATCAACAGCATATTAAAGTGGATGGAATGTAGATAGTATAGAAATTTTGGATTGATCAACTAGATGTACCTGAATCGGATTGTTTATATTTACACTGGAACTTGAACCTACATCATATCGTTTCAATACGAGCGTCAAGATAGTCCTACTATAGAGAGCTGAAACTTGGAGAACTACTACAACTATCATCAGAAAATTACAAGTATTTATAAACAGTTGTCTGCGCAAGATATTCAATGTCCGTTGAACGGATACCATCAGTAGCAGCCTACTATGGGAGAGAACAAACCAGCCTCCATCTGAAGAGGAAATTAAGAAGAGACGTTGGAGGTGGACAGGACATACATTTTGGAAATCATCCAACTGCACCACGAAGTGATCCCTAACTTGGAATCTTGATGGGAAACGGAAAAGAGGAAGACCCAGGAACACACTGAGCCAATGATTGGAAGCAGATATCAAAAGGATTAATAGTAACTGAAAAGAACTGGAAATGACTGTCCAGTAGAGAGTTGGATGGAGAATGCTGATGGGCGGCCTATGCTCCTCCATGAGGAGTAACAGGCGTAAGTAAGTAAGTAAGAAAGATCACGTAGAGATGGACAGTGATTTTATTCACCGTTATTTCATATATTGCTATTCACAGCTAACTAAAAATTACCGAAATTCAGTATAATTAGTCTATAATATTTCATATCAATATTCTTATTTGACTTTCATAAAAATAGGCTAATTATGGACATAAAGTAATGCTGAACATTTAATACAATGTGTAATATATATATATATATATATAACTTTCACAACTGTTTTGTTTTGTATTCCTAATAGATGGATGAATATATTAACCTACATGAAACGTCACGTCATCACTATAGCATAGTTATCTATCTTTTTAATAAACAAAAGCTTTTATCACCAAGTTGATAAAAAATAGTTCATTATTTTATATGTGATCATACAAATTAAGCAAATCTTTACTACTGGTATAAAAAAAAACTAGTTTTGTGCGCGATCTCGTGCATTGGTCGAAGTCAGACATTAACACCATTGGATGTTAGCTCAGTGGTCTGCAGGTTAAGCGTTCACGCGCGAGACTGACAGGTCCTGGGTTTGAATCCCGCGAGCAGGAGTGTGGATGCGCATTACTGAGGAGTCTCATACTAGGACAAAACGGCCATCCAGTGCTTTCAGGTTATCCATGGTGGTCTAGCTTCAATTGATTCATGAATTCAACTGTTAATTTTGTTTTGTTATTAAGCTGTAACTATTATCAGGTGCATTGATTAATTGTAATTAGAAATTGTTAAGGAGAGAACCATACATTTCTAATTTTAGAGAAACTTTAATTTCTTTTTTAAAATATTGTTTAAAGTACTAATAATGTTAGACAAAGTTGTTCCATGAAATCATAATTTTTCTAGCTATGTGTTTAATTAAATTATTGTCAAAAGCTTTATGTAACGTATTTGAAACTCAAATATTGTGAACTTATACATGTATTCTTGGAAGATATTAATCCACTTCTAATTGGTTGATTGATTTCGTTGGTCAGTTGTGTACTGTTAGATATTAGAGTGATAATCCGAAGATATGATTTGTTTGAAAAATTATAACTTACATTACAGGCTGTGTTCGTCGCAGATTGATCTCATTTGAGATACAATCGAAAATCAGAGAGCACTGAACAGCTATTCCGTCCTAGTATAGGACTCCTGTGTAGTATGTACTTGCGACCCTGACAAAGATCAAACCTAAGACATTGATGTTTTATGTTGAATGTTTAACCATTCAAATTTCTGTGTTTACAACGAATTGAACACTATCAACTTCAATCAGTTTATCATATAGCTCTACAACCAATCTCAAAAAAACCTTTCAACTAAAAAAATTAACGTCGGCTCGATGCGTAAGAAAAATCAGGGAGCATTTAATTATTTATCTGATTTTAATTTGAAATTATGTATCATTGACTATTAGTAATTATATCTATATAAGTTTGCATAAGAAAAATTTAGATACTGGGAAGAAGTGTAAATACCATTAAAGTAACAAATAGAAGGGGATTAATTATTTATATTTCTGCCTGGAGCCTCTCTGGGGCTACTGCCGGTTCCAAGCCCGGGTAAAGGAGTAGGGTTGGGCATGAGCTTAGCGACCCCATCCCATAGAAAACTAATCTGCTAAAATAAAACCCTAACCAGAAAAAAATAATTCAAACCATTTAAACTCTGCCCCGGGAGATAGAAGGTCTTTATTTAGAAGAGTTATGACATCTCATGGTGAAAGCCGAATTCCTTCGGAAGTCACGAGACTGATGCCCCTTCTGACAACCAGAGCAACCACTAATTTAGGTACATGGAATGCTCGTACAATCTGGGAGACCAGGAGAGTCTTCCAAATTGTTGTTACAGTAATTTTCAAATTCATTCTTTATTTGATATTTATTGATAAAACCATGAAAATTTTGCATCCAGATAATTTAATTGTGGTATAAAAATGCCTAAGAGATGTTGACAAATTGTTTATTTGTTTAAACTAAAAATCATTTAAGTTTTTTTGTAAAAAAAGATTTGCTTGAGCTGAATCATTTCGTTAGACGGTATAAATGAAAACCCAGGACAGAGTGGGTTGGAGAATGCTGGTCGGCGGCCCATGCTCCATTAGGAGTAACAGGTGTAAGTAAGTAAGTAAGTAAGTAAGTAAGTAAGTATAAATGAAACTATGTTTAATGTAAAATGGTTGGAGGTAGTCAATAGGAAACCCTGATAAGACGTATTTACAATCTTAGGGGAATTGGTTAATTGTAACCAGTCCACAACAAAACAGTACGTTATGACTTGATAATAAATAGAATCCAATTAGCACTAAAGTTTAGACAAACACGACATTGGTCATTATTCAATAACTAGTCAATGTGTTATGAACAAAAATTTCAACATATTATTCATGAAACATTAAAAAGGTAGAATGTACTTGCAAAATCTCAGCGAATGAATTTGAAGTAAATCCAACATTTCACCTAGCAACTCGGCGCCCAAATACTGTGAAATTATTCGATCAAATTTAAATGAAAGTTCTTATTTCTTATTTATGAATATTAAACTCACAGAGATATTAAATGCTGAGTTACATTTTATTACACAGTTTGAATGGTGAAGGGATTAAAACTTAGTAATTAGGCAAACTTTTATTAACTAGGCTTTCAGTTATATAGAATATTTCAACAACTAGATAGAATTGTATTCAAATCCGTAACTCCATTGAATTACAGTTTTACTTGTTTAGTCAAAGAAAAGAACACACAAGTGAATTGCAATTAAAAACACCTTTGAAACATTTAAATTTAATGTAGGTAGGATTCAGAGATTTGTAAATGAAATATAGTTTGCTAAAATGAAACAAGTCAACAATCATTTTGATAGTTATCAACATTTTAAATCCGAAATATGAAGTTACTTAATATTTTTTACATTAAATTCACTTGCTATTGATGTTTAGGACTGCAATTGATCAGTCTATTATTAGCATAGGTACATCCTGTAAAGATTGCCTCGATATTGCCACAGGCATTGTCACAAGCATTATAAACAAAGTGGCTATCAGGATTCAGTAGCTAAGTGGATAACACGATAACGTTTGAAGTGAATGACTATGGCATCGAGTCTCGGAGTGAATATCAACCCTGAGGTGCATGTAGATTCAGTTGATGAGTCTCAAATAAGACGAAATGCACGTCCAGGATTCCATTGCTATGCACTATCCATCTTTGCTCATAGGTTTGTATTAATTTCAAGAGTTCTATTACCATTTTTAACGAGAGCTTTTTGTTTGAAATAGTCTAGAATTAAAAAACTTCATCAATGAATAAACTAACATTTAAATTTCAGTAGTTGAGATCATGATTCAGTTGAAGCTAAACCACCATGGAAAACCTGGAAGCACTGGACGGCCGTTTCTTCATATCATGGGACTCGTCATCAGTGTGTATCCACGATCCCACCTCGTAAGGTTCGAACCCGGGACCTAACAGTCTCGTGCGCGCAAGCGCTTAACAACTAGGCCACTGAGCCGGCATTCAATAGTTTTAATCTCTAACTTCAACTAATCCCTGAAATTGAGCGACACATCTAGCTTGAATTGACTCATGATCTCAACTACTGATATTACTATAATACATTACGTAAATCATCACACTGCATCATGAGGCAGGCCCTAACTTGAAATCCTGAAGGGAAACGGAAAAGAGGAAGGTCAAAGAACACATTACGTCGGTAAATAGAATCAGATATGAAAAGGATGAATAACAACTGGAAGGAGCTGGAAAGGATTGCCCAGAACAGGGTTGGATGGGGAATGCTGGTGAGCGGCCTATGCTCCTTCGCGAGGAGTAACAGGCGTAAGTAAGTAAGTAAGTAAGTAAAAAGTACATTTGTATTAAAGACTTATGTAGGATCATTACACCTACCAACTAAACATATTGAATATTTGATTTAATTCATTCCATTACTATCAATTACTAAGAGTGAACTTATTAACTTACTAAGTTTTTGTAAATGATTTAAAACATCTATTTTTTCCATTGTTTTATCTAATCTAAGATGTAATGAATCCAACATGGAATTATTTCTTCTTCGATATAATTCATTTACATTATTGTTATCATCATCATCATTGTTTTCATGTATCATTTCATTCTTTTTCATAGATGAAAGAATATACTCTTTATTGACAGAATTGTTCAAAGATGATATACATGTTGATGATGATAACAATAATGATGATAAGGGTAATGTAGTTTGTTGTTTATGTTGTTGTAAATAATCCATTGAAATGGATTCATTCTTTAAATGATTATTTAATTCATCATTAATAAGTTGTTTGACATTTCTTTGAAATTCATAACATTCTATTGGATTACCTGTTTGTTCTAAAATATTCCGATCATTATTACTATCATTGTTGTTATCAGTTGTATTACTGTTGTTGTTATGCTTATTAGATTCTGATAAAGAATCATGTAGTCGAGGATATTTTGTAGTATAACATATTTCTTCACTGAATTCGATATTATTTTTATCACATATAGTAACAGTAGTAGTATTCGGTGAATAACAAAGTCTATATGGAAGACTAGAATTGAGAGATATTGATTTATTATAATCATTAAATTGATTATCCAATTGATTCTTTTTAGACAAAGAATGATTGATAATGCTAGAAGCTTGTTTATTATTTTCAGTAGAGTTAACAATCTCATCAATTGTAGTAGTAGTAGTAGTAGTGGTAGTATTAGTAGTACTGGTCGAACTAATTGTAGTACAAATTTTAGGTTTAACATCTTCATTACCAATAGTATTAACATTATCATTATTAATATTCAATTTTCCTTGTTCAATTGATTGTTGATTATTTTCAAGAATATTTCTATCATATTCAGATATAGTATGTAAAGTAGTATTGAATTCCGGTAAATTTAAACAAAATTGTGAAAGATTAGTATTATTCTCTGAAGTATCAAATGTATAATGTCTAGATTGATGTTGTAATTGTTGTTGTAATTGGGATATCATAATTAGGTTAGTTTAATAGTAGAAAAATAAATAAACTCAAAGTGATAAGATATAAGAGAAAATCAATTTGGGGGGGATAACAAACAGTGTGTATGTATATTTATTATGTATATAGATATATCAATAGACACTATAAGCAAGCTCTTTGATCCTCTCATGAATCAAATAGTATTATTCCAATATCTTGTCTTATTTACTTTTATTCAATATTTGACCTGATATAATCAACGGCAAAATATGTAGAGTAGTGATAAGAAGAAGATGAAGAACTAAACACAATCAATTAGCTATTCTCATTCAATTTAATTTAATTCCATGGTGACATTATTTTTAAAAAAAAAGAAAAAGAAAAACAAAGTGGGAAAACATGAAAAAGGAAGAGAGTTCAATTGATAGTGGCTAAGTATTTAATCAAATATTCCTGGTAATTTGGTTTAATGTATATAAATAAATTAATATGGACATATAATCAATGCGACTTTTAAACATTCATCATAACCAAATTATCTTTTTTGGATATGTTTGTTGTTGCTGTTGTTGTTGTTATGTAATCAGTAAAAATTAGGTTATGGATGTTGATAACTAGAGGCAATCTGTTTACTATCGTTTTATGGGTTACTATTATTATTATTATAGAAGATGGAATTATTCAATGATCAATACAAATAAATATATATATATATATATTGAAATATTGAACAATGAATAAAGAACAACGGTTAATATGATCAAATGATTTTTGTATAATGAAATTTGTCAGTCATTTTTCTGTTAGATAAACATCTATGGTACTGTTTAATTTTGTTCATCTGTTCTTTTTACATTAACCCACCCTTAATCCTTCGTTTAGTTTCTCCCTTCTTTTTATAATCTCTCTTTCTCTTTTCTTTTTTTGTATCCACCTACATACTTAATTTTCATCTCAATCTTCATTCATTCTTTTCCTTTGTATATATTTCGTTATGTAAGTCATTTAATCTATCATCTATCCAGTAATATTCAAAGGTCGAGCGTATATACAACATCAAAGTAATATACTATCATTAGTTTTATTTTGCTAACATATTACATTCCCTAAAATATTAATTTAACTAGACATATGTCCCTAAAGATTTGAGATAGTGTTTCTATTTGAAGTAAGTAGTATATTTTCATCTTGGAAAAAATCAATATAAACATTTCTAACTCTTATATCAATTTGATTGGTACTTGAAGCAAATTCATTTTGTTTTTATTTTATGCCCTTTAGGTAACATTATCTTCATTGGTTATTAAAGTTTGGAAGAGAAAAATTTGAAGTACATCAATACAAAATATATGTGAGAATAATATGACGGTAAAATAATTTATATGTATAGGGGAAATTTTTCCTAACCAATGACTAGTTTACGAAAATTTTCTAACAATTTGTATTAATTATAAGCAAAGATGGATGGTGAATAGAAGTGGAATATAGGATTAGCGTTTCGTACTATTTCGGACTCGTCAACTGGATGTATATGAATCTCAGAGTTGATATTCACTCCGAGACTCGATGCCATAGCCATTCACTTCAAACGTTATCGTATTATCCACTTAGCTACTGAATCCTGATATCCACTTTGTTTATAATACTTGTGACAATGCTTGTGGCAATGTCGAGGCAATCTTCATAGGATGTACCTCTGCTAATAATAGACTGATCAATTGCATCCATAAACATCAATGGGAAGATTCAAGCAAACAATACCAAGTGAATTTATTCGCATTAGTGTTGGAGGGTATAGAAAAGGAGAACTCAGATTATTTAAGTATATTTTAGTCAGTGGCTCATCATTTGAGCTACCTACATACTGAAATCGAACATTCAAGTTTCATGGTAGAAATGACTGTTTAGTAGTTAGTGTTTACCAACCTTAGTTAATTTGTCGTTTGATATGGTGATTCTCTAGTTTATTACTATCTAAGTGCGCAGTCATAAATGACTGATTTTATGAACCGGATTTAATCTGGTTAGGATAAAATCTACTCACTTTGTCTCTCGAATACAGTATGTCAGAAGTGGGAGATAAAGTTTACTTGGATACATAATAAATTTTGGAGAGTAGTTTCGTCCAGGACACTGCAGCAGTAAGCGTTTGCGATCTTGGGACAGATCAAGTTCAGAAGCTCCAGATCTCGTGATGTGTACCTGACAATCATACTTCTAGGTTAGAACCTAATAGTTCACGTTTCTTATTCCAGTCAGTCCATAGTATAGTGCGACGATTATCCAGTGGTACTGGTGATGAGTGGTTAACTGCCAAAAAATATCTGAACTGCACTGAACATAATCTGACCAAGGGCTTACTGTGAGATAGGAAGATCCCCGGTCAGGGTCATGACAGGGTTATGGTTTATAATGATAAAGAGTCCAATTATAGGACGTAAGGGAAGTTTAGTACTCCCTAACTTTTAAAGAAATTTTCACTGCGCTTAGTGTGTGACGTACACCACTAACAAAATAGAACAGGTCTCTACAAAATTCCTCAAACTGACTTTTATTTATTTATTGGGTTAATTTATTAATGATTTCGAAGAAACTCATGTCCTGAATAAGTAGTTGCAAATGTAACTTTACATTTTACCTTCCAATCAATCATATTTCTAGGTATTTGTTTACGTTGTAGTGAGTCTTTCTCGTTTGATAGAGATACTGTATGTGTCGTTCTTTTAATCTATCAGAGTGATTATCACACTCCATTGTAGGCTAATAAAAAACATTTCAGCAGTCAAAACAAGGTAATTTCATAGTTATATCAAATACATTTTTATTATCGTTCGTATTCAGGATCGAAATGATTACTTTGTTGATTTGCGGGATTTTTGATGATGCATTCACTTAGAACTTTATAACATTTTGAACAGTGACTGTTGATGACACATATTCTGTTTTATCTTAAACTAGTCATCTGAATGTATTTGTTTATAGATGTTGACATTTACCGTTGAATTTGAATCTGTACCTATCACTTTGCAAGGACATATTAAGAATATAGACAATAACATATTGATATGTTTGTGACTACTATCATTCACTAGGACTAGTAGGTAATACTAGCAATTGGTTATTTTCAGTAGTTAATAATTCTGACTTATTATTTATCTTGAAGAAAAATATAGTTACGTTTACTGTGTGTATATGAATTCTAGTTATCGGTTATCAAACTGGCAACAATTACCAAATTTTGGTCTTATAATTATACTATTTCGAGTAGTATCATTTTATGTCTCAAAATTTCCCATTGAAATAAATTTTCATACACCATACAAGTCACCAATAATGTTTATACTTATACTGGGAGAAAAAATTATCCAATACTCTATGCGAAATTCTTTGAATGTGGATTGTTTCTACTCTATTGTTTTTCAAAAAGTCATTTGTATTCAATTCCAAATACATAAACAAAACTGTACAATATTCTTAAATATTTCTGCTTAGTTATATTTTAACTTGGAATAATATCAAACTAAAATCATATGAAATATTTGTTTGGATAATATCTCACGGCGAGACTATAATTTGTGGATGAACCAATCACATATAAAATAACAGGTCTTGAATTTTGGCGCGAAATTCACTCATACATTTGAATAAATAGAGTTTTGGCATTATAGCTGGTGTCAGTTCGTAATGAAAATCGTAAATATAATTCCAAACCCTAACCATCAACTTTAAGTCATAATAATTCCTCACACAGATTTATAACCTTCATTTGATCCTGGCTATTAGGTGGACACTCTCTAGGTCACTTCAGCGTCGCTCATAGGTCGTCCATAAATTATAGTCTCACATATCTCACTTCTATATAATCACTAATTCTGATATATTTCATTATTTTAAAGCGACTTATGTTTCCTTTAGGTTGAAGAATATTTATTCACAAAATTTTCATTTGCCTTTCTTCATACGACGTAGCTTCAGTAAAATCATTAAAAATGTACAAGATAGAGTATCATTCACTGAGATCAAATTATTGCTTAAAATGACTTTTTCGAAACGTGATCATTACTAGTAGAGATGGCGAAATTATAACTGAGATGGGTAGGCCGATAAGTCTAATGAGATCATTTAGAAACGTGTAGAAAAACATTCAGAAGAGAGACAATTCTAAATTATTTTAGCAAAATATAGTACTTTGCAATAAAACATTAGAGAATAGAGATTGAAATGAAAATCAACATACTGTTTAAGAAATTTAATCACACATTATCCCTGACGTTAGATGCACAACAGTTTCTTACTGAAATCTTAACAACATTATCGACAGACTTTATCTGTGAAGAATGAATTTCCATAATGTCTAAAAAATTATAAAGCTTTTGTATTACAGTTTAACTTTCTGGCTACTTAACTCACTCTCATCACTGAAGCCTTATGACAAACCGTTGCCTGAATCTACTTGCAACTTTTAGATAAAAAAAACCTTTATATGTAGAATAGAGGAAATCTTGAATTATAGTGATATAGTATAAAAAGATATACTTAAAACAGAGAAAACTTATTTATGGATAAAATATTGTTATTTTATTAACTTGACACTTCTAGTTCCTTATATGGGTATAGTGATGTTTTAAAACAAATTTATTAGAGGGATTTAGATTGATAAATTGAAGTTTGGCACATAACATATTAGTATTGAAATTTTAATTAAAAATTTGTTGTACAAATTGAAGTTGAGAAAAGTTTTGTGAGTGGTTTTATACTACTAACCCATTTGTAAGTAGGTTAAAATTAAATGTTATCTTTTATGATCACAAAAGTTTTGTTTTTAGCATCTACAGTTTTGCAACATAAAAATAAATGAATATATCATGAAGCTGAATTTAAGTAAATAGCTAAAATGTTGAAATTACATCGATTATCTGATCAATGTGACTTCATTAGAGTAAAATGGATTGCTTTTGAAAAAAATATATTCATTGGGCCTAAACATATGTTAATGGCTAGATTATGAATCTCTTCAATTGTGGCGGGAATT